TATAATTAAAATTATAAAAATGTTCAAAGTTAAAAAATACTGTAATGTAATTGGTGCAATTTTCATTTTGTTAATTGTGGGTAGGCTGTCTGTAACAACTATACCTTCAAGACATGTAACACCTCAGTCTCTCCCATGACCATGGATGCTGTAAAGCATTCGAAACGTCGGGAACCACCAAAAATCAAAATAAATCCGCGAAATTATCCGAAAAGATAGTTTTATTTAAAAATGTCAAACATTCGCGTAAATCTAAGAAAGTATTAAGAAAGTATTATCAAAAAAGCTCTTTTCGTGAAAAACATTAAACAAAAAAAAACTTTTTTGTCATTGAAAACGAAATAAGGCGATCGGAAATGAAATTTACCCAAATTTAGTGAGTATTGATTAATCGCTTTTACTTTTTATGAGTTATTTATCGAAGTCAAAAACTGTTAGTCACTGAAAGTTTTTTAATTTTGTGGACTGTACATCCATAGGTCGCTGGTTCAAATCCGGCTCGTAGGAACAATGTAAGGGTCCTACTGGGACGTTAAATAAAAAGTGGACTGTATACTTTGCTAGTTTAATGTCGTTAATAAGAAAATAATTAGAGGCGTCCCTTATTCGTGCAGACGAGTGCGGCCGAGCCGCCACAGCCCACCGTCGCGTCGGCGCGTTCCTCCTCGCTACTCGCAACCTAAGATCTGTCCCCGGCAAGTTAATGCCAGGATGAATTTTGTTTTTAATATTTAAATTATTTATAATATTTCTTTACATAAATAAAGGTAAAACACCGTTAATAAGCCCTTATCCAATTTCTTTGTAAGGGATGGGGCGTCAGCATTAGTATATTATTTATTATGTCATCTTTGCTCAGGCCTCAGACTAACAAAATAAAAGACGGAGCGTTTAAAACATATACTCATAAATGAAGCTAAACGAATCTGTCAAATTCAGATAGAAAATATGTCTAATAATTATTTCTAATATAGCAGAAATATATATTTTATGTACTATATTAAATGTTTATATAATAAGGTTTTTATTTTCATTTTATTACAATTCATAACGACAAAATTACTTGTGTATTTTGTTTTTTCTGATCTTAGAATATGCTGTGAAATATAACACTATTTCAGGCGTCAATTACACGGGCGGCCGTACACGTACGGTTTCCTGAATGGTAATTCAGATTCGGAGATTCGAATGCTTGCCTTAAATACAAAATATTCGGCTAGGCGCACACTTTTGTACATTTTCAGAACGGAAAAAAAAACGGACGTTCGTGTCGGAAGCAGGCCGTGCGTTCCGATCATTCAGAACGGAAAAACCGAATGACGTCATCCCAAATGCAGCACTCGCATACATTTTTGCAAATCCGCCGCACACGAACGGAAATATTCGTACAGATTATAGGGATGTCGGCAGTGAATAAAATATCGATATATCGATGTATTGATATTTACTAATATATCAATATCGATCTCGATATCCCAAGGAAGAAATATAGATATATCGGTCAAATTTTCAGAGATTGTTGGTCTTAAAATAATAATGCATTTAATCTGGCTCAATAAAAGATAATACTATTTTTTATATAAAATGCACATTATTTTATTGCATGAGAATCTTAATAAAAACTAAGGTATTTTACCCGCTTCCAATAAACTAGTTTTTACGGCATTCGAAAGTGAATGACACATGATGGCTGCCGCATATACAAACACACATACACCCGCAAATTTAAATTAAAAATATTTTATTCAGCATTAAATTATTACAATTTTTTACTGAACGTCATGAGTCTACTACCAGTTCGGAAAGAAGAAGCCTCAGACCTGAGAAGAACTGGCGAAAGAAACTCAGCGGGACTAATATTAACTTGTTATCTTTTTTTAAAGTAAAACTATAATTTACAATATTTCTATCAAGTTGAAGTAGCCTGGAGGCGCCCCCCCCCAACGTGCGTTCACCTTGTCGTGGTGGAGGGCTCAGTAGTGCCCGGCAATCCAACCGGGCGCGAAGCTAAGAAACGCACAGGGAGGTTGCCCACTTCGGTGGGCGGTGGGAGGTGGCCCTCTTTGGGGGGCGGTGTACCATGCGGGTTGCTCCTGGTACTTCTCTGATAGCAGAGTGGACTGTGGAGAAACCCCATGGTTGTGGTGGTCTGATTCGGCAGACCTGCTGTCGGGGCATCGTAGTTTAATGCGCAAGCGATCCTGCGACGCCCCATTAAGACGGGGGAAGGTTTTGTTGGGTTTTAGTGGGTAGTACTGGCTGTATTACGCCGGTGAGTCCCACACGTCGTGCGTAAATGCATTTCCCAACGTTAAAAAAAGCCTGGAGGCGATCATTTCATTCCCAAGGTGTGCCATATTCTATAATATAATTTATTGTATAATAGCCTTTAGCACACAAACGTTCTTTAACAATTTTTTTAATTTGGCGATATAAGCTTTTCGAACATTTTCTGGGATCCTGTTGTACGAGTATATACATTGTTATAATAGGAATAATTTTACTGTGTTTCATTAGATCAAAAAAACATAGTAGTCATAGACAATACAGTATTTTTTCCGTTCGTTCCTATCTTTTACGGCTTTGAATTCTATTAAATATTCCGCTAATAAATTAAATTTGCAAAAAAATATCGTGTTTGATACGATTTTCGATATTGAATATTTTGTATCGATACATCGATGTGTCGATATTTTTGCAACATTTTTCCTGATTAGGTACAAGTGTTCGCCCAGTGTCGAAATTCGATTTAATCATTGTTTATTTTTTTAATTGATAACACTAAAGCTCTTTAATAGCTACTAAGCAGTAAAAAGAAAATCGGCTGAAAAACAGAGGAAAAAAAGATACGGAAGTGATTTATCTTTGCTTATTCATATATATAGATTACTGTGAATTCAGCTAAGATAAGCCACCATGAGTTAAGATAACTTATCAAGAAATCGGTTGTATAAAATCATAAATTAACTTGATAAAACGTGTTAGCATTGTTTTTGTTTTGTATCGGCAGAAAGGCAGGATAGATTTGTGTTTCTAGATATAGTTTCTGCCTATCCTGTAAATAAAAATGCTTAAAATGATGATTAATAAACCACCTACTTCTAATATAAGAACATAGTAAAAAGCTGATTGTATATATATCTTATAATATTAAATGTATATCTTATAATATTAAATGAGCAATTCTTATATATATTTCTTATATATATATATATATATATATATATATATATATATATATATATATATATATATATATATATATATATATATATATATATATATATATATATATATATATATATATATATATATAGCTCCCTCAATGTGCCTCCACTTATAACGGTCTTCAGCGTCTCGGGAGCACTGGACTATGGAGGTTTATGTTACGGCTTTTATAAGGTCTGTCCAACGCGTGTGTGATCGTCCGCGTGACCGCTTCTACTTTCCCCTGGACAACGAGTTGTTCCATGGAGTGCTCCTTTCGGACAATGTGTCCGAAGTATTTGAGGATTCGGGTCTGCACTGTAGAAGATAATCTCTGTTTCATGTTTAGTTCCTCCAAAATCGAGATGTTGGTACGAAACGCTGTCCAAGGGATTCGCAACAGTCGCCGCCAACACCACATTTCGAGTGTATCGATTTTGCGTCGGTCTTTCAGGTGAACCGTCCATATTTCAGCAAAATAAAGAAAGATTGGGAAGACTAAACTTCTCATAAGGCGGACTTTCGTGGCTTCTGTGATATTTCGGTTGCACCAAACTCTTTCTAGCCTATCAACGGAAGATCTTGTGACATTAAATTTTGCAGAATTATTTATTATAATTATTAAATTTATTAAAAAATCCCTTTACCTATTTTCTAGTAAATTGCGATATTTAAATCTATTAGCATCAAGTAAATATATTTTATTTTTATATTATACAGATTATAATCTCTTTGATCGTATTTTCCTGTTTCTATAATTATTTTATTAGCTTTTGATGTAAAATCAAAGAAATCGGATCACAGTTCAAAAAATCTTTATTTACAATTTTTATGTACAAATTTGGAAAATAAATCTATATAGATACTCTAAACGGGACAATTTTAATATTCTATGTATGTAGGTGCGTAGTGACTATAATGTTGCTAATTGAATTTTAAATTATAAATCTACAAAATATTTCTTTTATTTACAACAAACACTCTTTTAAAGTAAAAGTGAATCCTTTTAACAAAAAATCGATATTTACACAATTAAAGCTAAATATGTTACTAAAATAAAAAATGAAACGCAGTACGTTTTTAAAGTAAGTAGGTACATAGACATTTTACCAAGTGTTTTAAATTCTAGATTAAGCCTCATTTTAAAGCATTTAGTATCTAATTACAAAGTATTTTTATTAAATATTGAATAAATAACGGTGCAACTTTACACATTTGATAGGTTAAAATTTGGCTCCAAAAATTTTACCTTACAGCTAATTGTTACTTAGAACTGACATAGAAATGCTATCTAAAGTGAACATCTACTACATTTAGTAAGCGTAATTACCTTTCAGGCTTTGCCGATATATTCGGCTGACTTTATAATACATTATATTATAGTTGTAACTAACTAGTATGTAATAAATCTAGTGACTAATTTGGGAATTCGTATTCCTTAAAATCTTATGTCAGTATTTTTGGTAATTTTTTTAACTCTTCCTTTTAATTGAAATCTTCTTATTATAAATTGACGTGATTAATGATATATAATTTGTGAATAATTTTATTTTATTCAAAAATATCCAAAAATTATGTGTTTCATATTGAAATATTTTTATCAGAATAACAATTTACCACTAAAAACACAATTACGACTGACGCCGTCTGTCTATGCAGCAAACGGCTTTTTTTAAATTTTCTGTAAAGCCACACTTTTGACTTTGGACCTCCGCTTTACATAATCTATTGACATCATCGTTTGAAATTCCAGTCTTTACTCCCTTTCGACCTTCAATTTCTTCATCGGATCACGTATCAGAACCTGGGTACTTTACTATCAGATTTAATTCTTCTTCATTTGGCTTAGCATTCCGCACCTCTGTTTGACCTTCGAATTTCTTTGGTCTGTCAGTTAGTTTGTTTTCTATATTCACAAGTACGTCAGCCACGCATTTGTGATCATCAGGTGATTTCACTTCAGTGTCATCACCGAATGCTGTAGCTTCGTTTCCGTTAACTCCATTATTATTGCATTTATCTTTTTTGGCTTCCGCTTTACTATCTTCTTCTTCGCTATTCTCTTTTCCTTCTAGAATAATTTTATGAGTGGCTTCTTCTGTGACACTATCTGTAGGTGCCTCGTTTATACAGGAATGTGTTAGTGTGAAAGGAAGTTTGACAGACACTTCACCACCCATGGCGCTAAGTGTAAGTTTAACTTTGACATAGTATGAAACGTAAATGGCAAATACATTGCGATCCTCTGGCGTATTGGAGTTACATAAAACTGTCGATGCCAGACTGGCTCCTGATTTAGAATAGGAATCTTCTAGTGCTATCCAATTTTTTGTTACACCTGTGAACATTTTTTTTTAATATTTAGTTAAATCAAACAATTACGATAGAAAGCGTAAACGTTTTAAAAAAAAACTGAACTTTATAAACAGTATTGTAGTTGGTAAATATATTATTCAAATGCAAGACAAAATGACTGACGTGTCTGTTAACACTAAGCAAATTACCTTTGTGAGGCGTGAGGGTGTAAGTGTCAGTGTGGATTTGCCCTGGCAAAACGTTTCCGGTGCCTCGGACTAATGCTACCACGTTCTTGAATTTTCCATTTGAGAACATACACACGTCGACGTGCTGGACGACTAATGTCTAGAAAGAGAATAACAGTTATTATAATGTTACTAGCCGACCTACAGACGCAGTTGACTATTATATCAGTTTATATATATATATATATATATATAAGATTGTTATTGCTTTTTTAAGATTTACTTAGGAGTTATTTTCTTAACCGTCTTCTTTTTTATACATTATAATGAGGTTACCATGTACTGTGGAATATTAAAAAGAAAAAAATATATATTTACTTATTTGTATGATAAATTATTTCAAAGATACACAGGTTAAATTTCCATACGGGAGCATATTTTTGTTTTTTTTTTAAGTAACGTCATAAAAACTGCTACTAAATTAATATCTAGTGAATAAAATAAACTTTTATGCTACAAATTTATTCTAAAAATAATAAATGAAATTTATTATTTAGAATTATAGAATAATTTTGCAAATGAACACACAGAGATATATGAGCTTAAAATGTTTCAGATTAGTTGTTATATAATTATATATTCAATGAAATTTATAAAAAGTTAAGGTTAGGTACCACAGAGAATACAAATTCGCAAATTATCACACTTTTAAGTTACTTTAAGTTTGAATAGCACCAATTTATGTATACTGTATAACTCAAATGTGATTTCGATTTTAATACCACAATGGAAAAAAATTCAGTGCTTAATCCGGCGTAAAATCCTGACTTATCTATTATTTAATAACAAAGAAATTTTATTTTCTTATTTTGATAAAAAAATATCTTCCACTATGCACACATAACATGCCTTATTGTTATACTAGCATTTCCCGCGGCTCCGCTCGCATTCAGATGACCAAAAACCAAATTCTTAGGTTTTACATATTAGTATACTCTTACATTGCAGTTTTTGTCTTTTTTCTAAAAATGAGATATTTTCTCCCGGTAAAAAGTATCCTATTTGTTGACCCGGATAACCAGTTACCATCCAGACTACCAGATTTCATCAAAATCCCTCCCGTGGTTTTTCCGTGATGAGACAGACAAAAATTCTAAAAACTATAGATTCCACCTCTGTAATGATAATATTGTCTATTTCAATAACATTTTCCAAAAAATATTTATTGTACAGATTCGGCTTGGTTACAATTTTATTATATGTATAGATAAGTGTTATTTTCTTAACCGTTTTTTTTGTGTTAACTCTAGATTCTTAAACTCAGACTGGATTTGAAAAAAGGTTTTATGAATTTGAACTAAACTGTGTACACGTGTATTTATTTATGTAAGATTTTCTTGTTACTGTTCATATATGGATATCCCGCCATTAAGTACCCATGGAGATCAAAATATCTCACAAATTTTTTTGGAACTTATTATGGAGCTTCGCTTGAATTTTTCGAAAACCTTCTCGTATTTAGTCTGTTTCAATGTTAGAGAATGGATGTGATCGATAATTTTATTTAAAAATAAGAATAAAAATTATTTCAGTCTCGCTGAGTTTATTTCGCCAGTTTATTTCGCCAGTTCTTCTTAGGTCTGAGGGGTTTTTTCCAAACCCATGAATGTTAATAAAAAATTGTAATAATTTAATGCGGAATAAAACATTTTATTTTAGATTTTTTTGAATAGTAAGTAGTAAACAATATTTATTTTATTATATTCTGGCACAGGTACATCTTTCTAGATTCTCTTAATAAATTACTATTCTATGAGTAAAAAACGACTCTCCCTATCACCAGTGGAGGCAATTAGTGTTGTAAATTACGGTCATTTAAAATATCGTTAAGTCTGCGCTTAAACGTTTCCCTTCCAAAGTGTACTATCGCAGAAAATATTTTGGCTAACCATTATGGGATACAAAGATATTTATCATATTTTGTGAATATTATGATTATAATTAATGTATATTAATAATAATCATAATATACAAAAATATAATCAAGTGTATATTATGATTATTATTAATGGGCAATTTTTAATTTTGGAACATAATTTAGCGTTAAAAATATCAGCAGCAAATAAAAAACGGAATTATGAAACAAATAATCGCACTCCAATTTTACTTTTGAACTAAGTAGCTATAAAGACTTCAAAAACACTTCATAGTACTTATTCTGCTCTTAGGGCTGGATTTTCTTTCTAAAATTTACTTAGTACTATAATTTAGGTATAATTAATTTTTTAATCGCATTAATTTATGTACCACATCTTTTCTTATTTTTATAGTTAGATAGGTATAAAATCTAAACGAATATTTTCAGAGGTAAAGTTTGTGTGTGTTGTGAGTGAGGTTGTAGGAGTAATCTCTGGATCTACTGAACCGATTTAGATGAAATTTGGTAAGAAAATAGTTTGAGACCCTGGAAAGAACATAGGATACTTTTTATCCCGGAAATTATTATTTAAGGGGGTGAAAATGGGGAAGAAAGTTTGTATGGGGAATCAAGCTAGGGACAAACCCGAGCGAAACGAGGATGAGTCGCTAGTTAGGTATAAAACGAGCCCTTTACTAATGGCAAATATAACAGGATTCGAGTCTGTAGTCTCCAGCGCGGAGACAGGTACTTAGACCACTAACGAATGGAGTTAATGTCAAATTTCTATATTAAAACAGAAAAATCGCTGATAGATAAATCCTAAGGGATCCACCAAGTCAGGCGTTAATAAAAAATATTACTATTAAAAGTGTAAAGAAAAAACCTTTTGATTGACTGAAATTTATAGGACTCGTCAAAAAATGAAATGGCCAATTCCAAAGTTTTACTTACAGCCTCTGCGGATTCTCTCTTAAAATTAGTTAGATGGTATAGGATGATAATATATATATATAAATATATATATATATATATATATATATATATATATATATATACTAGCCGAATCCGCGGCTTCACTCGCGCTAAAACTACAAAAATATCTCTAAAAAGGTACTTTCATACAAACTTTTATACCCTATTTCACCCCCTTATAGGATGAATTTTGAAAAATGCTAAGACACGTATTTATTTAATTTTATTGAAAAGTATATAATATACCGAGTTTCAAGTAATTCTAATAATATATTTTTTTAGATTGTATTATAACATGTTTTCCCGTGGGAATTAAGTAATTTCCCGCCATAAAAAGTAGCCTATGTCACCCTCCAGCCCTCCAACTATCTCCACAATAAAAATCACGCCAATCCGTTACTCCGTTTCAACGTGAATGATGGACAAACAAACAAACAAACAAACAAACAAACAAACAAACAAACAAACAAACAAACAAACAAACACACTTTCACATAATATTAAAGTATGGAAAGTATGTATGTACATATTTAATTTTTAAAGCGATACGACCAAAGATATCATCGTATTTATGATATCTATGGATACGACAGATGGAAGTAGATTAAAATCGACTTCCAAGATTTGATTAGGTACTACATCAAATCTCTAGTTACTGTGATTAAATTGAATTGTTAAAAAATTAATGCATAGTGTTTTACATTAACCAAAATTTTAAAACCATCGTTTCGGATTTTTAAACTGATTATTTTGGATTTATATAAATTATATTGTATATAATAACTTTTACGTGTTGTCTATAACCTTAGTCTCTCCCGTGATCATGACTGCTGGAAAGTATTCGAATATAAATTAAAAATATAAAAGATCGAATATCGAATCAAAAGATCGAATTCTATATGTAGTTAACGTTAAAAAATGATTCTTGTATTTTTATTTACTTGCATTATTTGTTGTTATAGCAGCAATAGAAATACGTACTATGTGAAAATTCTCTACCTATTACGGTTCACGAGATACAGCCCTCTGACAGACGGACGGATAGCGGAGGTTTAGTAATAGGGTTCCGTTGGTACCCTTCGGGTACGGAACTGTAAAAATGAACGTTGTGTTAGTGAATACTTACCTTTATTCTTCTAACAGTCTTCGAAGAATGGTTGGAGACCACTACGCTAACTGTTATTGATTCACCATGAGAGTACGTTGCTTTGTCCAACCACGCCTCTAGCTCCACTCTAGAAACAATAATAGCTTTTGACTATACATATATAATAATTAACCAAAAAATGTATGTTTGTATAAAACCTGTTCAATAACATAAAAAAATTATATTTTGATATATTAGTTATAGGTATACATTTTCTTCACTCATTTCTTCAGTTTTCATTAAATTTATCAACCACGGTCTGGATTGCCAAAAAGGATTGATGGCAGGTAGGCGGCGACCGGTCGTTAAACTTTTGCTGATCAGAAGTAAGGAAGATGTACTGTGCCGACCCTAAGTAATTGGGAAATGGGCAGCGAGATGATGATGATGGTCTGGCACATTAAAAAAGGCCCGTGCCAAGTGATGTTTAAAAAGACTCAATTATTATTAATATTTTTTTCAACCTTATACGAGTATATTTTAGACAAAAAAATATTTCACATAAGTATTTCAGACGTTTTTTCAGGAATGCATTAATATATATATATATATATATATATATATATATATAAATCTGTAATAAGTAGTTGTGGTACTAATATATATTTTTTTATATAGATGAATAACAAAAGGAACACTAAGCAGGTTATCTTAAGAAATGACTTGACTTATTTTTACCATATTATGTCTTTTTCATCTCACGTGCAGTAAACGTGTGTTTGCTTTCGCAAGCCAATATTAATTCTGTATAGAGAAATGGCTAGAGCTCTCGAATAACTTCAAGAATGTATTATAGAAAGTGAATGAAGTTGTGTGATGATGTTACTTTCTTTAGTTCTTTGTATTCATCTTGCAATGAAGATGTTTGAAACAAATTTATGAAACAATTTCATTTTAAATAATTTAAGAGAAACTTATTTTTGACTTAATACTTTCTTAGATTTACGTAAATATTTGACATTATAAACAAAACTATCTTTTCGGATTATTTCGCGGATTTATTTTGATTTTTGGTTCCCGACGTTTCGAATGCTTTACAACATCCATGGTCACGGGAGAGAATGAGGTGTTACATGTCTTGAAGGTATAGTTGTTACAGACAGCCTACCCACAATTAACAAATTATTTTTGACTCTTAAATTCTTTAGAAGAGCTTTCGGAGTATTTAATACCAAGTTTTTCATATACATTTTTTTTGTATAACATCATAAAATAACAGGATACATTTGGGAAAAAAATCTGCAAAATAATGGTAAAATCTTATACCACAAACAAATTCCAATATAAAAGGATTTGTAAACATTTCATCCCTATGAAAATGAAATAACAAACAGAAATATGGTGAGTAGAAATGAACGGCGTCGTTGTGTCAATAAACCTTTTCTATCCTACTCGAGTTTGATTCAGTAGAACCTATTAGCCGTGCTTCGATTTCAATTTGCATTTATTTATTTAGAGGTTATACACTACACTCGTACATATATACATAATACACCTTTATTATATGACTAAAGTAGAAGAACAAATGAAGAAACAAAAATATATTGTGAATGAATCTTCCCGTTGTCGTTGTGGGAGTGCCTAGTAGCGTATATCCAACTGTGCGTGAAGCCATGAAAAAGGAGCTTGCTTATTGGCCTCAGATTGTGAGTATTATTAACTGGGTAAAAATTACATAGGAGCAGCCTGTGTTGGTGGACTTCACTTATTGTGGATGGAGAGAAGCTTCATAAAAAATCTCTAATCGCAAGGTCAGGCTAGCCAAGGAAACGCATATTCAGGAATGAATTAACTATATTGCTCAGTCAGTCGTCCGTCGAGTCATCGTATTGAAATGCAAAAATAATCTTGCCAGTGAATTTTTATGTTCGTAGCGTATGTATTGTATGAACTGTTTATTTACGTAAATTTCTCTTTTTATAAATAGTATGTTTGTAGAGAATTCTAATATTTAATGATCACTAAATAATATGCTTATCGAGATTCAAGACACAAAGCCCCATATGTCAATACTTTTTACTTTTTGCTACACTGATTAAATGTTAAATAAGATTTTGAGGCTTTATTAATAAAAAATATATTTAAGAAAGATAAGATAAAAAATAATGACACTCTTGCATTTTTAATGTTAATAAGAATTGTCTACAGTTGTCTAATTTCAATGACCACTTATTTTATTAGTTTTACCAGTTATTTTTAACCATAGAGACAATAACTCTAAAGATTTAGAAGCTCAAATGTTGTATATATATATATATATATATATATATATATATATATATATATATATATATATATATATATATAAATAACCACAATCTTCACTAATCTTATGATTTGAATTTTATGTGTGTTTGTTTGTTGGTTAGTTCGTTTGTATTCTTCTTTCTTCTAATAAAAAAATGAAGCATTTGGCGTAAAGTATGTTTTACTTTATTCTATTATACTAGTGGATGTAACACTTTTGAATGATCACTGAACCTGCGAGAAACTCTACAGCTCTTTAAAATATCAAGCTACCTACAGTGTTTTTAATACAAAGAAATAGCAATTTTGCATACGAGTCCATTTATTTTAATTCCACACATTTTACCTACACGAAACTTTTGAACAGAGTTACACGTTTTTAAATTAAAAGTAGTACATTTTTAATTTTATCTTTAAAATGTTAAAAAGGCAAATCCAAGATAGTATTTAGTATTTTTATTATGTATGCAAGGGGTCGAAGCAAAGTGAGGTCGAGTCATGATAGTGCTAGCCGCAATAAATTTTTTCTTCACATTTCAACATCTACTTAAATGTATTTAAAAAGTCTGTTACAAGTAATATATACTACCAAACGTTAAAAGGATATTTTTTAAACAAGGCATTGTGTTATCTCAAGATTTATTTTTTATAATTTTAAGAGACGGGAGTTTTTCATATCTTATCAGTGAAAGCTTTTTACGGAAAATTTGAATAAACTTGTAAAGTAATCTTGTATTATTACAATGAAACGGTAGAGATATTCTTTATCTATACATATAATAAAATCGTAACTTTGCCGAATCTGTGCATTAAATATTTTTAGGGAAAATCTTATTGAAATAGACATAATTATCAATACAGAGGCCAAATCTATTTTTTTTTAATTTTTGTCTGTCTGTCCGTGTCTATGATAGCATCACGGAAAAACCACTAAAGGGATTTTGATGAAATTTAGTATAAAAATAGCTGGTTATCCGGGTCAATATATAGGATACTTTTTACTGCGGGAAAATATCTCATCTCTGAGATATCTATATTAACGTTAAAATGTAAGTAGGGACAAACCCGAGCGGAACGAGGGCGAGTCGCTAGCTTGGAACATAAAATAATGTAAATGATTTTAGATCTGGGTTATCTTTAAGCTCTTTAACTAGCGACTTACCATTGCTTCGTTCGAATGCATCCCCAGATGCTGTTTGTATTGTATAATATACATAATTTACTAGCGTTTTCCTGCGGCTTCGCCCGCATAGTACATTAATCAAGAACATATCATATACTAAAACCTTCTCCGAAACACGCTGCATCTTATGGTGTGAGTATTATTCCGTTCGGTTTAGTAGTTATCGCAGTATAACAGAACAAAAAATCGGCTCTCCATTTATTAATATAGATACAGGTATCGTCATTTGTCAATAGATGTCGCCATATGTCTTTAAAATACGTAGTTTAAATTCAAAAAAATTGAATGTACAAATTAGACCTTTCTATGATTTTATTAGAATTACTACTAAATTAACCGCGGCCCTGCCCGTGTTCAAATTATCAAAAAACAATCTTTTTGGCTTTCTATATAAGTTACATCTATAGATACATTAAAATTTAACTAAGCCGTACCTGTGCTTTAAATATTTTTTGTAAAATCTTATTGAAATACACATTATTATCGCTAACAGAGACCGAACCTATATATAGTTTTAAGAATTTTTAAGAAAATTGGTATGGTGATGATGATGATGATTCTCCTAGCCGATTCCGGCCACGGCGGCCAATCTCAATGAGATTAACCAACTGCGCAGGAGATATTATAGTGCTCAAGTGTACGCGCAGACACAAGTGCACTCTCTATTCCTATCACTCTCATACTCCGGTGGGACGACCGCTCGACACGACCGGTGAGAGTTAAGGCGCAGGACCGACGGCTTTACGTGCTCTCCGAGGCACGGGGGTGAAACACCGCCAACTTCCCAACTCCGGGCTGTTACTGAGACTTACTATACAGTAAGACTCAATAACTAAACTTGGCCCGACCCGGGACTCGAACCCAGGACCTCCGGGTGTGCAGCCGTACATGCTAGCCACTACACCACCGAGGCAGTTATTGGTATGGTAATAGCTGGATGTCCGGGTCAACTAATATACTATTACGAGTATACTAATATGTAAAACCTAAGAATTTGGTTTTGGTCATATGAACGCGGGCGGAGCCGCGGGCAATGCTAGTTGCATTATAATTTAATAGAGTTAGCCTTAAGTAGAGCTTGAAAAAGTTCTCTACAATTTATTTTTGTCTAAATTTATTCTATTTAACGCTATATTTACTTAATATTATACTTTATATGGTCTGGTTTATCAAATTTTATGTACCTTATATTATTTTTTTATATTTTCATCAAGAAATATCGAAAGCTTTCTATGATATTTAGTTATTTAAAATTCAATTTAGCTTAGCTTTTTATTATGTATTGCAGCATGGAAGGCAATATCAGGGTATTCCGGCGTATTCCGATGAGACGAAACGTTTCGCTCAAAATTTGACTGTACTTTTAAGTTATATGAATATTTGTTATCATTTGGGACTAGCAAACTAAGTGCAGCTCTTTTATATTTTGTAACATAGTATTTTATATGCAAAAATCACATAAATAAATGTACAAAATTATTATATAATACTAGTGACTTGCTCTCCCTTCGGTCGAGTGCGTCCTTAGGTATCTCTAGTAGTAGCCTATGTTCTATTCAAGGTTATGTCTGGATACTAAATTTTGTTAAAATCTAACTAGCCATTTTAGTGTAAAGGAGTAACAAACAATCACGTACATAAAAACACACGAAATTTCGCATATGTAATTATTATAGTGTATAAAGTTATATATGTGTAGTGTTTCAACTATCTGGTATCCATAACACAAGCGTTGTAGCTTACCATGGAACTAGATGGTGCTGTGTGTTAATGCCCCAACATATTTATTTACTAGCGACTCACCCTCGCTTCGCTTGGGTTCGTCCTTAGGTTGATTCGCCATACAAACTTTCATCCCTATTTTCACCCCCATCCATTCTATGTCCTGTGCCTTTTTTGAATTTTTGAAATCATTTTTGTAAAATAGTGGGTAGGCACTGTCTGTAACAAGTATGTGTTTGAGACGTCTATAACCTTAGTCTCTCCCGTTGCTGTAAAGCATTCGAAACATCGAGAACCAAAAATGTAAATAAATCCGCGAAATAATCCGAAAAGATAGTTTTATTTAAAATGTTTTAAAGGAAGAAATTTGAAGGATTAAGAAAATGTAAAAAATCTTTTACTTAGATGTTGGATGCTTATCTAAAGACATACATGAATTAATGTTAATTAAAATAAGTTTTTTAACTTTAAAATTAATTAGTGGCATACTATCTTTATTATATAAAAAGAAAGTTTTTATTCATTTCGTTCGTCTTTTAAAGCTTTTAAATCATTCATCTCAATATAGTCAAAATTTAATAATATATCGTAAGCTCCTACTAAAAAGTTTTTAATATGTAGATCCATCTGCCAACCATCGTAGCGCGATAGTTGTATGATATATTTTAGAGTTTATCCGTGAATCGTAACTAAAAATATATAGAATTTTCAAAATACTTGTTAGAATACGAAAATTTTACGTACAAAATGGTCTCATAATTTCCAGCTGCTTTCGGGCTAGCAGTGCTACCGACGATATATATGTTAATAAGATGAAATAAACATTATAAGTAATTAATTTAAAACTTTCTGTCTGCCTTTAGCTACACGTAAGGGTCTATTGCATTTTTAATATTTTAATTCTATAAAGGTGTTACCAAACTGCATGTAGCTGACTGAATTTGTTACAGATTTATGTATTCTTGCAATGTGATATATACTAAGTGGGTGGTTAGGCTTTATGTTCACCCACTCAATGAAATGTAACAATACAGGTACATCTTCAGCAACATTTACTACACGCAATAATCAAACCCGTTATGTCCTCCATAATATGTAATACCCGTCAGTTTACACAACATTGAGCAATAGAAAAGCTTGCAAATCATAAAACTGAAAATTAATATTGTCGCCTCTTTTTGCTCGTAAAATGTTTCGCTAGAACACTGTAAATAACAAATTTTAAAATAAGCTCGTAAAGCTGTGGATAAATTTGCACTTTTAAGTCAGCTGGGAGTAAAATTTTCCCCTATTTAAAAATGCAGCGTTCTCACAAAAAAGAATAATCATTAATATAATACTGGAATGAGAAATAATTCTTATACTAATACAAAAATACTTCTTAATCAGGATATATCCTTTTGAAGTTTCGAGCATAGCAGTGGTCTAAAGCTAGCTAGCATGCAATCATTTTAAATAATTTCTTTAAAAGTGAGTGTGGTATTAAAATGGATTTTCATTGATTATGATGAAGAGATATTTACCATGTTTTTTTACTTTATAATATTTTACCTTTAAATTAGATTTGGTGGCATAAGCTAATTTAATTATAATGTCTTATTGACCGATTTCGAATACGACAGCTTGTCTCTTTCTTTACGGGCGCAGGAAATAATATAGTGCACAAGTATCACCCTCAAACTCTGGTGGGAGTCCCAGAGTCCCAATTGTCGTCCCACCGTCATCTCGTAAGGTCATCTTTTCAACTTCAGGCTCTTATAAAGACTTTTTGACGGAAATACCCAATACATCACTATGCATGACCCAACGCAAGACTCGAACTCAGGAAATATAGATCTACAGTCGTACATGCTAGCCACTAGAATCTAGACTAACGAGATGGTTAGCTACATTTAAATATAATTGTTAAATGAACCCGGAAATAAAAAATTTGAAAATATTTATAAAAGGTAGAAAATTAATAAGAATTCTCACCTTCCATCAGATAAGAGAAATGGCTTTTCAACGGTGGCCCGCGGCGGTGCTGGCTCGACGTTCTCTGAAAATAAAATACTAATTTACCATTGTTGTTTTTCATAATGTCCGCATTATTTTCTTATTAAACCGTGTTTATAATAGCATTTCTCATAAAATTGTAAATTTAGGTGATAAATAAAATTAGATCTTTCAAAGTTATAATAATCGTTGGTTTTTCCCGTATTTTATTACTCAGTTAAAAATTAATAAGCTATAGTGATTTATGTTTATAATAACAAACTAGCGACTCACCCTAGCTTCGCTCGGGTTCGTCCCTAGGTACGTTTCAATTTTTTTGAGCGGAATCCTAATTCTTTTTCTAAAATAAAAGTAGCCTTTGTTACTCCCTATAACATCAGCTATCTTCCAGTGAAAGTCCCGTCAAAATCAGTCCAGCCGTTTCAGAGATTACCCGGAACAAACAGACAGACAAACAAAAATTTAAAAAAATGTGTTTTTCTTATAAGTACCGTATATAATTTTATATGGATTTAGTAAAACGCTGTTATTTTGACATTACAATGAGACACTTCAATTTTATTAATCTGTATAGATTATATATTGCTTATAGAACAGTATAGATTTTTAACACGCCTAATATTAATAACCAATTTTTACCTGACTGCAGCGAAGCCTAAAGAAGGGTTATGTATTTGACCTGTATGTACGTTGTACATGTATGACCAATGTAACTGCATACAGATATTTTTATACTTGCTGCAAGTCGAGTGTACGAGTACATATCTCCGACTGCATAGTACTATGTTCGCCTGTCAACTTGTTTTAATCTTTTAATTTTGCTCTTTACGCACTTTGTCTTTTTTTAGTCGGGTTTTTATTTTTAAATTTGTTTTTTTTTTTTAAATTAAAATAGTTGCTTTAGATAATTATTACTCATATTCTGTATACAACATATTTTTACGTAACATATTTAAAAGAATTAGGCTTAAGATCTTTATGTTACTCAGTAATTGTTCATTTTGAACTTTCAATTCAAAGAGGAAAGTGCTTCTTGCAATTTTAACTCCATACATTCAAATTTTCAAATACGTAATTTATAACATTTAAGGCAATTCTGTGTATTCTGTGCCATGCAAGTTGGTGAACTTAGCAAACTAGTAATATTTAGGTCCTTTCAAAGGTTTCCTCACACTGTTTTCAAGCAAGTAGTAATTAATCTTTTTAAAAATGATGACATACGATTATCAAAGGTGCTAGACCCAAGGTTTCTCACTTCACTTGGCGTTTCTCACTGCACTTTCTTAATAAGAACCACTGCCTTAATACGAATTGAATACCCCTTTGAAATACTTCAGTCAATTTTTTGTATCAGTAAATAGAATAAAATATGAAATTGTATTTATTTTAATCAAAAAAGGACTTATTGTAATTTCAACTATATCCAACATGATTGGTTTTATTCAATTAATTTTTGTTTACAATATACCTAACATTGTATTTTATATTGTACTGATAAGGTAAAGCTTTCGTATTGAAGCGTTTTTTTTTATATAAAGAATTGCTCAGAAAAAGAAAAGTATATTTATAAGCTCTGCCTTTTTTCTATTTAAGAGTTCATGACTTTTTAAACATCTTTTCTTGGTGTAGAGCATTTTTAAAGAAAAATACTATAAACATTTTAATTAAATAAAAAAAAAACAATTTGATTTTATTAAACGTCATGTCATGTCATTTAGTATTCATGCATTAAAAAACTAGATTCAATAAGGAATTAAACGAGACAGTTATATATTTATGATAGAAAAAACGTACATTAATACATAAATAATTTACTGCATGTTCTAAATGTTCATAATATCCAATACATCATAGCAAGTTATGTCACATAATAATGGTAATATCTCAGAAACATTTGTAAGGTGTGCATAAGATAAGTAGAGATTCATCACGAGATAAATGGTGTATGGACAAATAAGTTACAAACAAACATACAGACTATACATTCATTATCAAGCACGATTATAAGCAGATTCCAGTTATCAAATCCAGTATATTTCTTTACCAAAATTACTCGATTCATTTCAATGTAATATGTATACAATAAAACGCCTCCTATAATAAAATTTCTTGAACTTTTTCATCCTTGCGTCCTCGAAGCTTTAACGATCTTTTCACTGCTAAAACGTCACGTCGCCCTCGTTTTAGATTTATACCCTATTATACAAATCCATGAGATGGCATTACGTTATAAAATGATGTTGCTTATATTGCGTAAATATTACATGAAAGTTATATTGTAACTTTTGAAGTGAAACTTCTTTAGAATCTTTGTGACTTGAAACTCGATGAAACGAAAATGTAACACTAAAAAGATACAAACACAGATATATACAATTAAGCCGGCGAGAGAATGAGATAGAGTACATTGCCATGTTGTCATGGTAACCGTTGTTATTGTCTGACACATATAATATAATATTATATTCTTTTCGTATATAATAATTTAGAAATATATGATTGTAATATGCCTAATATATCTTATTTAATTATTGATTTAGTTTAATTTAATTGCGATAGTTGCCAAAGAAGTTTTACTTTAACCGCGCGTAAAAGTTACACGCGCCCATTTTTTTTAAATATGTGTTAGGCATCACGTACTAGATGATGTACCAGAAACAATAATGAAGGATAAAAAAATCATTGTACTGTATTTGGAACTCAACAAAATGCCTCTATATCATGCATTCAGCGTAGTCTCAAATCAGATAACAATAAAGTTTTAACAAATAATTTTTCTTTAAAATTCAATTTTTGATAAATCACCCCTGTTATTTAACTGTAGGAAAGATGAAGTAGTTATCACTATTAGGACACATATTCGTTTAATAACTAAGGCTGACAGAAACAAATGCAAGAGTGGTCTAGATTTGACTGTATTCCATATTTTGATAGAATGTCCAGCTTATAATAATGAGAAACGGTTATGTAATGTACCAAATAATTTAAAGGATTGTTTAAATCAAGATGGTTTTACGAGAATTCTTAATTTTTTTAAATAAAACTATCTTTTCGGATTTTGTGGCGGATTTATTTGCATTTTTGTTTCCCGACGTTTCGAATGCTTTACAGCATCCATGGTCACGGGAGAGCCTGAGGTGTTACATGTCTTGGAGGTATAGTTGTTACAGACAGCCTACCCACAATTAACAAAATTCGAAACGTCGGGAAACAAAAATGCAAATAAATCCGCGACAAAATCCGAAAAGATAGTTTTATTTAAAATGTCAAATATTCGCGTAAATCTAAGAAAGTATTAATTCTTAACTTTTTGAAAATGATAAATATGTACCAACTGATAAAAATTATTGTAAAAAATTATTGTAACCTATGTCCAATGTGGTCGCTAATGACCTTAGATGTTAAAAAGTGACGTAAAATAAAAAAAAATCCTTTCAATATTTTCATAATGTACGTTATAATATCTAAGTAAAGAACACTCTAACCGCCAATCCGATTCCACTACCCCGATAATAGCTAATAAAAATAATAAAAAGATTCTAAAGAATATCACTCACCAATTTCCTCTCGCTTTCGGCATTTTTCTTCGGCGTCCAATTTAGCTTTATTTTTTAGTCTGCAATGAAAAAATTGATTGTAGACCTGTTACATTTATTAAATCTCTGCATTTGACTTAAAAGCTTTGTTTGTAAGTAAAAAATAACAGCATAATACGAAATAATATTTTTTTCTAATGAATTTGTCTTCTATGACACCTTTGACATCTCCAAGACAAAAATATTCTTAAATAAGCTATATTTATGGATTTTTGATGGGCTTACGACTTACACTGGTATGGTCGGGTGCATCCCTAAATATCTAACACTAGCCTATGTGTTACTCTAGGTCTTGACTACAACATGGGGTTATTCAAGGGGCGGACCAATAAAGTCCTGAAAAGCCGGCAACGCATTAGTGGTGCCTCTGGTGCTACAAATGTTCATGGGCGGCGGTAATCTCTTAACATCAGGCCGCCTGCTCGTTTGCTCGCCAATATTATAAAAAAAATAATTCGATCTGTTTACTTGTCATCCAAATCCGTCCAGCCGTAAGAAGTAACAAATATACAAAACGTGTGTATGTAACACGTTTTTAGCAGTAATCTGATTATAAATAAAATAAAATATTATAAGAAACGGATTATACAATAACATTTTGAAATGTTTAGTGAATATAATTATGTAGAAATGGAATATGCCTAAGTTTCAACTAAGCTAAAAGTTAGTTTATTCAATTAAGGTATACATTAGCCGTACTTAGAATTTCTCTACTTTGCTTCAATACGCCCACTAAATATGATGTTAAACAGAACTGCATGTACTGTAGTCTGTACCTCCGGGTACTACGAAGTATATAGAGTTTAAACTGGAATCTACATTACAATTTTTATTCACAAGTATAGGATATGTAATTCTAATAAAACTATTTTCTTTTTTCATTGTTTGCTGTAGAATATCCCAAACGTAAAGAAATAAACAATGCAAATAAAAAGCGAAAAAAAAACCCGTGACAATTTTTTTTGGAATGTCAAATATTCGCATAGTATGAACAATTGAAAATGCTTTTAAGTCGTGATGAATAAAAAGATATATTGACAAAATGTGAGTTTTCCTGAAATGTACAATAAAACCGGCAGATTACACAAACTAAACAACAGATAAAATTTCAAATAATCAGCTATCCATTATAGTAGCCATACATTAAATATTCAATATACAATATACTATTATTAATTGTAACTTATGTAACTTATATTTACAGTTATAGTTACATTGTAACTTATATTATAACCAGCGACTCACCCTCGTTCCAATCGGAATCGTCCCTAGGAACGTTTTAACGATTAGTATAGATTTCTTAGAAATGAGGTATTTTCCCGCAGTAAAAAGTATCCTATATGTTGAGCCGAATAACCAGCTATCATCATACCAAAATTCATCAAAATCTGTCCAGAGATTTTCTCACATTAGTGTTACCAAAATTCGCATTTATAATTTTGTACCTATAAATTGTGGTAACAAGGAAACTGTTAAAAGTAATTAATATCTAGTAATATATGTACATATTTTTACGAAAAAAAAACAAATCGTACTTAATACAGCATTTATTATTAGAGAGTTTGTTTAAACGGATTGACCAAGCCTTGCGCATATTTGATGAAAATCCAACTTGGTATTTAAAAGTCCCGAGCTTTTCTGAAAATATATTTATTTGAATATCAATTGATTTATTTTAGTATATATTGGTCTAAATGATTATCTATAAAATTACATGATATCCTAAACCCGATGAGACTATAAAGATCTACTATAGAGCTCCTTTTTAATATTTGAGTTTAATATAAGCGCGTTCAGCAATAATGAAATTTATATACGAAAATACAAGCCGCTTAAGACATATTTATACTTCTTGTATACAAATTTATAATATATGGAAATCTTCCATTAACCTCCAACATATTTCTGAATAGGCTTTTGTGGAATCTCATACTCACGGTTAAAGAAATGGCCCAAATATCATATAATGGTCCTAAACATGCGTGGCTTAAGTTATTAGCTCACATTTGTGGATATTTTATTGATATCATCATATTGAAAATATTATATATATTGAAAATAATATTAAAAAGTTGATATTATTGGAACCTTATGGGACGATGCGGAGAGGTACCCTAGCCGACAAAAAACCTGTGTAACGAAAATGCGTGGTGTAAGATTTATATATATATATATATATATATATATATATATATATATATATATATATATATATAGTTGATATGTGTTTGCTATACAGTGTCTAATGTACAGTCTACATGATGACTGTTATTATTATTATAAATTTTTATGAATCATTGTGAATAAAATAAAAGTGTTAAGATAATTTTGTTAAGTACTTTTTGATACTCGTATTTATCGATAAAATAATCATAATAAAAAAATTATACCCGAATAATTATTTTCTTTTTACCCTCGACTAGAACTTGAAATTAATATTTATGTAATAAGGAACTTCGTTCCTCTCTGGTGTCCCACGACACCATTTTATAATTTTTTTTATACATATATTGACGGTTTGATTGATCGGTCTAGTTTAAGTGTATTCCATTATATATATAAATAGAAATTCAAGATCTACATCCCATTTAATTCTGTTTAGTTTCCGGTGTATAGAACCGGATAAGATTTTATAAAAAAGGAAGAAACATAAAATTATATACCTAATCTAGCGTCATTCATTCATTCGTCGATATATTTTAACAGTTAGTATGGAGTAGATAGACTATATATTATAAGATATATATCCTATAGCTTATTCAATAAACAGGCTATCTAATGCAAAAAGAATTTTTCAAGCCGGATTAGCAGTTCCTGAGATTAGCGCGTTCAATTAAACAAACAAACTCTGCGTCTGTATATTATTATACTGGTAGATATAGATAAAAAAATATTATACATTTATATATAACTAACTATGGCAGAAGCCATGAAATATTTAAAAAAAACTTTTTTTTACAATACAACACAAGAGAAAAAAATATGTTAATGTAATTTTTATAAAAATAACACAAAATAAATATTCTTGTAATTTTTTTTAATAAAAATGTTACAAATGACTTGATTGTTTTAGAAAAAAATAATAATGTCATATTCATTATTCACATATTTGTATGTCTGTTTCAAACTCAAAGTTCAGAAAGTATATCGTATCAGGTGTCAATTATCGATGAGAGTATCGAACCCGTAAATATCCGCGTTATGACGTGTACGGTATATATACGTCATTCAAGTATTAGTGGGAGCGAAGTGTCGCCTTCACTTGTGCTCTGGTCTGAAACTAAAACTGTTCAGTGAAGTACGATAATATGAATTATGTATGGTTTAATGGGCGTAGCAGGGTCGAGAAATAGTCGGCATTGTTCATTGACATTTATTTGCCATGTAACAAAACAAATGATGTCAAAATCAATTCTGTATCTTCATATGTTCTTATCTTTTTGATATATACCAGTTTAATATTTTACGCTTTTCTACACTACTATTATAAAAACGAAAGATTTGTATTTTTGTATGTTTGTAATGAATAAACTCAAAAACTACTAGATCGATTTAGATGAAATTTGGTAAGGAGATAGTTTGAGAAACTGGATTTTTATTATTTTGAAAATCATTCCTTAAGGGGGTGAAAATGGGGATGAAAGTATGTGGGGAACTAACTTATAATTAATATTTTGTAACACAATAATGGGCTTTTTCAAATTCGGTATGTATAATTTATTAAGATAAGATTACATGTGGAAGTAATATTTTCGTTATAATTTTATCCTACTGCTGGTAATTTTTACAAATAAGGATATATGTAAGTTAGAACCGAGTTTATATGGCTTGGTTGGTTGGTTCATTATTATAGAGACACTTGAATATATTTTGTATGAAGATATAAATAACATATCATATTTTTATTTAGATGAAATACTTGTAATTTATACATAAAACATATTTTAAAACAACGACAAAAATCTGGAATCCCTTGCCTTAAGGAGCAATATATGAAATAAGCTTAAAAGCTTTTAGGGTCTTTTATAATCGCTCAGTAATACGTGACGGAGCTTAAAATATATTTGAATAGAATTTAGATAATAAACTGGAATATTGAATATCTGTACTTGATCATATTTTATATTGATATGAAATATGTAAATATCTTAAAGAAATTTCCGCTATACAAAAGAGGAAGTAATTTCATCGTTTTGTTGCTTGTCTAGCCAGATTTTTGCTTTTATGTCGAAATTTTTTTTCAAAGCTTGTTAAATGATTTTGGGTATTTCGTTGGATATATATTACATTAGCGACTCACCCTCGCTTCGATTGGGTTCGTCCCTAGATTGATTCTTCATACAAATTTTAATCCCCATTTTCACCCTCTTAAGGGATGATTTTCGAGATAATAACTATCCTATTTCCTTTCCAGGGTCTTAAACTATCTTCTTATCAAATTTCATCCAAATCGGCCCAGTAGTTTCGGAGCCTATTCGGTACAGACAAATAAAAACTTTCCACTTTGTAATATTAGTATAGATTATTTACTATTGCAAATATTATGTTTGTATTTAGGGATCTTTAGATTAGCTTAGCCGATTCTAAAAATTCTTTTACTAATAAACATATATATCATTCTTGTAACATAGACTTTTTTAGGTGTATTGGACATGGAAAATTGTAATCGAGAAATCCATTTACCAAAAAAAAAAAGTATTTTTAATGATTATAGTTCTTACTTTACATTTTCGATAATAAGGATATGTTTTCTCTCTGTTTCTTCTCCTTTATCTTTTTTTCTTTTCTTTGTCTTTTTTCCACATGAAATGAAAATATTATTTTCTTTTTGTTTTTTAATGTTTTTTTATGTACTCGTAACTTTAAATGCACAGACTCGTACTGTAATATTCACTTTCTGGTTGAGTTTGTTTATATAATTATTATATGTTTTTATTTGAATGTTGTGTACAGATTTAATTGGAGAACAAATTTAAAATGATATTTTTAGTTTTTTTTAATTTCTTTTCTGCTTCTGTACCTAAATAAATAAAATAAAAATAAATAAAATTATGCTTCATTTATTAGCTTACCATTAGATATTATGTTATGTGTGTTCTACTTGACCACAAACTGTACACGAAATGCTTCTCTGTCGTACATTTTGTTTTGGTCCAACATTTAAATATTTGAGACCTTCGAAAGCGTGATTTATGACCTATTTTTCGCAAGCAACCTAACTTGTGCATGTTTCCCATACTTTGCACATTCAACTAATATACAACTAACAGATTTATTGGTAAATGGGTGAAATATAAAGCAAAAATCTTTGGATCTTCTATAAAACGAAGAATTTTTCTTGTGAAAATCGTCTCGTTTAGCATTTTACACCACAGTTTTACAGCTGGTATTTCCTTCATGCATCATTGTTACGATTTTCTATGAAATATGAAATCGAGCAGTATGTATGGCTATAAAATAACAGTAAATCAGAGGTAATGTACTCATTTATGACAGTATTTTATGATGGCAAACTGATGTATGTTTATTTTCTTACTCATATATTTTAACTTTAATTATTTCGGTCTACATTCTCATCGGGTTTTAATAATTATAGCTTTCAGCACTCAACGATATTAGATGACTATATCTGAGAAATTCAATACCAATCACAAATCAATTGGACGAAGGATTTTCTATAATTTTGAAGTCATTAGCAGTTAATTGGATACGTTGTAAGGACGTTGGATGTTTTCTTAAAGATTTCTGTTTTTGAGTGCCTTCTTCAATAAGCTTCAGAAAGCTGCAAGGACGTTAAAAATAGAACACTTAATGTAATTGATAATAAGTTTTGTTAATTAAATGGTCTACGAACTAAAAATTTAGTGTTAAGTTTTTCGTGAAATAAATATCTGCAGAAAGACCACAAATCTAAAAATACAAAGCACTTCGCCGAAAATAGAAAAAAATGTCGATTCAGTGTCTTCAAATTATTTGATAAGAGGCGTTCGTTATTTTTATCTTGATTATGTAAGGAATTTTAAAATAGATTTCATATCTTGATTTTATTCAGCCCTTTTTAACGTTCCACTGCAGGGCACGGGCCTCCCTTCAATACGACGGGGATCAGGCCATAGTCCACCACGCTGGCCAAGTGCGGGTCGGCGGACTTCACATGTCTTTTGAAAACTTACTAGGTTCTCTCAGACATGCAGGTTTCCTCACGATGTTTTCCTTCACCGTTAAGACAAATGGTAATCATGTTGGAAATGATTCGCACATGAAAATATCAGAGGTGCGAGACCTGGGATTTGAACTCGCTTCACTCGGTTTCCCAAGCGAGCGCGTCACCACTGGGCTTTTATATCTTGATTATGTCAATTTAAAAATAGTTTTTTTTTATATGAAAACGTTCAACACTGACAACCGCCGTAGTCACTCCGTCGAAGTCCATGGCTTTGCTTCCTACTCGAAACAAAAATCTATCTATATTGAAATCACACAGCTTTGTCTCTGAGAACGCTTCCTATGGGAAAAGATGAGAAAACGTGAGATAACTCATGAACAATAAAAGAAATTAATTTTATAGCGCTTTGAAACGTACCTAATACCTAAAGATAAAACAAATCAGCCCAAACTCGATCCACTGTCTTTATGCCGAAAACTATTTTTTTTAAAAACTAGACTTGAATATAGTCATGAAAATATTTTTTAAATTACTTGTCCTTGTTGCGATTTATTATAATGAAGATATATAGACAAAAGTATTTTTATCTTCCTGCCTTTTTTCTCTCAACTACATAGACATACTAATTGTTTTTAGTAATGAAAGGAATTAAAAATTAACTACGTACTACGGAATTATCGTATTGTTGAAAAATTGTCACGGATTTAGAAAAGATTTAAAGAAGTCCTTAGACTGAACTTTGTCATCTTATTGTATTATATCAACAATTCTTGTCTATACATATAATAAAATTCTAACTCAGTCGAATCTGACTAAATATGTTTTAAAAATCTTATTGAAAAAGTCATTATTATCGATACAGCGGCCTAATCTACAGTTTATAGATTTTTTGTTTGTCTGTCTGTCTGTGACCGCATCACGAGAAAACCACTAGACAGATTTTGATGAAATTTAGTATGACAATAGCTTACTGCGAGTAAATCTCATCTCTGAAAAATCTATACTAAACGTTAAATCTATAAATTTATTACGTGCATCTCTTAAACGGCTCTAATGATTTGGGTCAAATTTTGTATTTATAGTAAGTTTATCTATGTAGGTGTCTTTTCTGAAAGACCTAATTTTTACATCTTTACCGAGAAAACATCGAGCGAAACTCGGTCGCCAGGTCCTATTATTTATAAGTGATAATGTTTATATTTCTTTCACTTCATTTAAAATTTCATTATTATCATTGCAAAATGTTTAGAGGTACATTTACCTATTTGTATTGATTGTATAAATTGATACAAAATATTCAAATATACGACGCCAGAATATTGCGTGAGCGGACAGAGATAAATTGAACGTAGATTACAAAGTAAATGAAATACTTTTGTTTGTGTTGTGAAAACAAAAATCTACAAATATCTTTTGTATTATTTAGGTGCAATATATTAGTAAAATTTATACTTGGTTGCGAAAAAAAAATCTCAGAACATATACATGCATATATTCTAATTATATTATTATTATTATTCATACATAATTAGACCAGTAAAAACAGCTAGTTCGTTCGTATTCGAGTTACTACGTATTTCCAATAAATACGAGTATGTACATCTGTATGTAGTAAAATAGAAATAAGTATATAGAGTTTTCCCACTCACTTCTACGCACAAGCAGTTCAGTTATCTATTACTATATCTTTAAAAATTATAGCCTATGTGCTACTCTGTTGTATAAGCTATATTACTGTAAAGTTTCATCAAAATCCGTTCAGTCGTTTTTGCGTGAAAGGGTAACAAACATCCACCCATCCATCCTAACAAACTTTTGCGCTTATAATATTCGTAGGATAGGACTAGTTGGAAACAGATTTTAGTTTTAGTCTAAATCGAAATAGCTATCACCTACTTAGATATGATGGATTTCTAAAAATCATTAATATATTTTAACGTAAATAGTATAAAATAATACCTTATTTCAACGTTAAAAAATGGTAATTACCTGAGAACATTATGATGTGCTAGCGTGCTAAGCGCGCTGTGCGGTGAGGGTGGTAGAACAGGTGGTATCAACATCGACTTTCCCGGCCCTTGCAGTACCCGGATGCCCATCCGAACTGTATTGCGTCTTGAAACTTTTTCATCTGCTCTTTCTGCTGTATAATAATTAAACGTAAAACATCTCAATAAACAACAAAATAAATTTTTTATTGATAGATCTTTAAATAGAGGAGGTGTATTTTTTGGCTTGTTTTTTGTGTATTCTATGCTATTTCTTCCTCAACTGTCTACTGTTATAGATTTACGCGATTATTAAATAGTTTTTAATGCTTTACAGCAATCACGGCCACGAGTGACAATTTAAATAGGTAGTTTAATTTAAATTGTGTATTGATTTTCATGACCTTTACTAATCAATAGGTGATCAGGAGTGGTCCTATACAAGTAACAAGAATAAACTTAGCTAAGAACGGAATAATTGATTGAAATCGGTGACCATTTTTAGTTAAAAATATTATTTATAATCGTAACAAGTCGTGTAAACTCTAAGGAATTTATGTGGTATTCCACCATCAACTTTATGGCATCATATATTTATTGTCTACGAATTTATATAGAAATATGTAATTCAACGTTATTATTTGTACAAATATAGGTCATAAGCTGTAGAAAAATATAAAGGTTCTCAGAATTGTAAGAAGATAAGGTGGGTGGAGCGTTTATATCAATAAATGAAGTTAAAAGAAGCTGTCAATGTCAGAAAGAACCAATCTAATATTATATTCAATATTGCTGATGAATTTTTCAATTCCTTTTTATTAATGCTAATTTTTATTTATTGTGAAACGTGCCACAGTTATTTTGTTTATTTTGCTTCTTATTGTACGCTAGCGATTTACCCTCGCTCCGCTCAGGTTCGTCCCTACGTCATATATATAAGATTAGTATATATATACATATATATATATAGTATATATATACATATATATATATGTATGTATATATATGTATAGATTTCTCAAAGATGAGTATTTTTCCGCAGTAAAAAGTATCCTTAATGTTGACCCAGATAACCAGCTATCATCATTCCAAATTTTATCAAAATATGTCCAGTGGTTCTCTCGTGATGCGTTCCCAGACAGACAGACAGACAGACAAACAGAAAATCTAAATACTATAGATTCGGCTTCCGTGCGCACCCAGCGCACTAAGAAACCCTCCCAGAACCCTCTTTATATTGGTAAAAACCATATGTATAAAAATGCGTTCAGTAAACTGCGCAGAGATATATTATTATAGTGCACAATGTGCACTTTCTATTCCGGTTATTCCCAAATTCCCACGGACGACAATTCGGCACGACCGGTGAGATATCAGTAGCTTTTCATGATCGACGACTTTGCGTACTTTCGGAGGCACAGGGCTAAAACAGCGCCAATTTTTCAACGTCGGACTGTAACTGGAATTTTAGTAACAGATAGACTTGGAGGACTTTTTGAGAAACGGTTTTTAAATAGCCCCGTTTATAGCGATCACATTAACTAACTGCCTCTGTGATCTAGTGGCTAGCATGTACGGCTGCAGATCCGGAGGTCCTGGGTTCGAGTCCCGGGTCGGACCAAGTTCCGTTATTGAATATATAGTATTTCTATCAAGAAATTCTCAGTAATAGTTGGGAAGTTGGCGTTGTTACACCCACGTGCCTCGGAGAACACATACAGCAATCGGTCTTGCACCTCAATTCTCACTGGTAGTATCGAAGTATTGTCCCATCGGACTGTGAGAGTAAAATGAATAGAGAATACACTTGTGCCTGCGCGTACACGCGCTGCACTATAATATCTCCTGCGTATCTGGCTAATCTCAGTGAGATTGGTCGCCTTGGCCAAAATCGGTCAGGAGGACGTTCTCGACGACTCAGGAAGGTGATCGTTTTACAATTTGCTGTTGCAAGACAGAAATAAACGTAATGCACGTACACATATAATATTACAAAAAAACCAATAAGTTAATCGCGTCTGGGACAAGCAATTATATGTCACTAGTAATTGTAATTTTACGATCAAACCTGCCATTGCCAGACGTAATAAGCATATATCTTATAGCCTGTGATTACGTGACTACGCCATGATTTTCACAAGAAATAGAAAATTTAATTTCATGCTTGCCTACAGTTTGGCTGCGTAATAAGCTATGAAATATACCAATTCATATGACGTATGTATATGGAAGAGTTTAGGTTTTAGCATGAAGTAAAAACTTCATGTTAAAACCTTTAATGCAATAAATAAATATTTTAATTATAATACTGTATTTAACTTTATTTGTTTTATTATATACTTCCATCGGATAATTGTATGAAAGTTCCGTGATGTAAGCTTTAATAATTATTGTGAACTTGAATTTATAAAGTAGGTATATAACAGCGAAGTGACTCTTAATGATTAAAAGACTTTAAAAAATTCCATTCCTCAAGGAGATCAAAGCTTGCGTGGAAAGCCTTTACCTTCAAAGTAAAAACATGATATTTTATGTTTAGGTTTTTTTGATCGTAACTTAAAATATCTATATCGTAACTTAAAATAGCGATTTTCCAAACTGGCGATTTCTATAATATCTCGTTCTATGCAAATATATGCGGGAAATAGTCGTATTATAATGGCTAATCTAAATTAAAAAAAATTAACGAACGTGCTAATCTCTGAACCTATCGACATATATTGAGAAAAAATATATTTTTATTTATTTAGCTATATTAACCAAGCCAACCCTTAGACGTGGAACAATTATATATAAATAAATTATTAAAATAAATAGACTTTGCAGGCAGAACCGAGTGCAAAGGCGTGTATGTAAAGATTTACTAAAATAATAAACATATATATATAAGAATTTTATAAGCATCAGTAAGCATTCCTTAGAAATTCAAACCGCGACTGCACGCGGATTAATCTTGAGAGTAATATTATGGCTAAGGGATCTAACGAAGAGGAAAGAGCTGTATGTTCTCATAGAACATCATAGCTACCGTGTGTTAGTGTATTTTGATATTCTGTCACTTAGTATGATGATGAATGATATTTACCGTCTATATTTAAAGTTAATTTTGTGTAAAGGTAAATCTATCTATACGGGATAAATCTATACGAGAAGGGTAGCTCAGTAGTACCACGCTCGCTAGGAAAACCGAGTGAAGCGGGTTCAAATCCGTGTCTCGCACCTCTGATATTTTCATGAGCGAATAATTTCCAGCATGATTACCAGTTGCCTTACGGTGAAGTAAAACATCGTAAGAAAACCTGCATGTCTGAGAGAACTTAGCAAATTTTCGAAAGACATGTGCAGACCGCCAACACGCTCTTGGTCAGCGTGGCGGACAATGATCTGATCTCCCTCGTATTGAAAGGAGGCCCATGCCCAGCAGTAGGACGTTAAAAAGGGCTAAACATATATCTATACGTAGGTAAATTAGCTATGGTTTATATTTTAACCATAAAAACTTAACCGTTTTTAGTGTAATTTCACGAAATAGAAACGGCGTATTTTTTTTCTTAATCTTTGATTTAATTAACTCAATGTATTCATTTGAACTTAGTGAAATATTATGGATTCATAAAAATCCATCTATCTATTTAAACTGTTTATGGAAATAGCAACAAGATTTGCAACAAGAAATTGAGATTTAGCCCCACGCTTAAAAGCTATGCGAATATAAATACCTTTCCTCTTACCTTTTATAAAGTTCCTTGAAGAGTTTTGGTTCATTATTTGTTATAATACTTTCAATGTAACGAAAATAGAATAAAATATGAATATATGCTTACCAATATACGCTCGTACGTCATAGGAAGTACCAATGGGTGCCCCGTGATACTGTTTGGCGGGTACCAGCTGCACGCTAGGCGGCGCTAACGGTGTCAATTCCAAGTGAAATGGAAATGCGTTTGCTCCCAATCTTTTGATGAGGGCATCCTATAAAGAAATATTCTTCAATAAACAAAAAAATTATATAAGAAATACCGTAATATTAATTGGAAAGTAATCCTGAACTTTGATGCAGTTTATGAGTCCGTCAGTGTAAATGTATAATATATATGTAAGTAATCTTTGTTTTAAAAATGAATGCTGTTATTTGGTAAGCGTATCGCTTGAAAATTGTTGTATCAATATGAAAATTATTTTATACTAGCGACTCACCCTCGCTTCGCTCGGATTCATCCCTAACTTGTTTCCCAATACAAACTTTCATCCCCATTATCACTCCCTTAAGGGATGATTTCCGGGATAAAAAGTATCTTATGTCCTTCCTAGAGTCTCAAAATATCTTCTTACCAAATTTCATCTAAATTGGTTCAGTAGATCCAGAGATTACCACCTACAACGTCACAAACTCACAATTCACAAACTTTATCTCTTTATAATATTAGTATAGAAAACGTACCTAGAGACGAACTCGAGCGAAACCAGGCTAAGTCGCTAGTAACAGTAGTTAGTCATAAGTAACAAATACTCCCACTCACTCTCCTATATCTTTTCTTTGTTAAATTACTTTTAGTGTTAAAAGTCAATAATTCTGTAATAAAAACTCTCTAACCTGAAGTGGGGTGTTAGGTTCTTTTTCAAGATTACAATGTACTGGCCAGATCTGTGCCAGGCTCATGATCGCTTCATTGCAGAACTTCAGCCCCATAACTTCTTCATCTTCTCGGCCGTATCTTAAAACAAAATAAAATAATTAAATGATAAGGTTTGAAATATTTTCCTTATATTTGTATACACTCCAAAATCAAAGCGAAGTTAGACTTTAAAGAACAAATTCGATTTTTACGTAAAAGTTACGAAGTAAAAAGGGAATTAATTGCATTGTTCTTTGAATTTTATTGAAATGGATTATAGTCAATATTTCAGTATAAAACGTACACTGTTACTGGAATTTTTAATTTAAAAAAATAATAATTTATAAAATATTTGTGCACAATGAATTCTCGAAATATAGTTTCCAGGAAATATTAAGAACAAAGTACGTAGTTAATTGGAAAATTTTGATCGGGTTCGTGCCTAGTGGACAATAAAAAGTGGGTTTTAAGGAGTCTATATCGGTGTAGTGGACACCGTCTTATACCATGACCGTGCTAGGACCGTGTCAGGCAAAAAAAATATTCTTTGTATTGAAAAGTATGAGACTCTGCCCACGAGACCGTTTCGTCACCGACCGGCACCGTCGCGAGCCGTGCACGGAGCATTAACGATTGTCGGCGAGAATATTTTTCCGGTGCCGGTACGCTCCGTGCCTGACACGCGTCGTTGCAGGAGCGGTGCGCGCAGGCGGCGCAATGGTGAGTATACACAGCAATAAAACCATTATGTACGGGTATGATACGCTGTTGATACGGTCTAGTGGGAATAGTAGTCCGTGCCATGCTCGTTTCCGTGCCTGATACGTTGTACGGTGTAGTGGACAGACACCTTTAACGGTTAGTATGAAATAGATAGACTATATATTATAGTACATATTATATGTATATAAATAGGTATGATTCAGTTTCATAACGGTTATGAAATGATTGATTCCCTATACATTTCATCCACCTTTTTACCCCCTTAAGGGATGATTTTCGGGATAAAAACTATCCTATGTCCTTTCTAGAGTTTTAATCTATCTTCATACCAAATTTAATCTAAATCGGTTCAGCGAATTTTTAGTTTGTCCATTACAAACAAACTCATACACTTACAAATTTTACGTCTTTATAATATTAGTGTAGATATAGGAAATTAATTGTGAAATTTAATTATTGAATAACATAATAAACACTAAAATATACGTATGTTAAATAATCTTTGGATAAATAAGGAAGTAAAAGATAATAAAATAGACAATGCGAAACTTGGCAGTATTCCTTTTTGTCAAGGGCATTTCAAATGTCTTAGTTCTGGCAATAGTTCAATTCACAATAAGGGTTGCTTCATAACAAGATTCTGCTATTACCAGGTTTTAGGTTTTAGAATGTTATGTTGTGTGAAAGAGAATAACTGCGAAGACAGTTTAATCAATTAAAAAATAAATAATAAATATTTCGTTTTAACTTTAAAATAGTAGTTCTTTATGGGTGTATTTTCTTTGCTTGTGTATATTGTATTTCCCATAGAAATCGTAATACGTGATATCTATGTTATTTCACTTATGTGAATAAATCCCGAAGAGAAGTACTATGAATATATTGTTCATATAAAAAAATAATGATGACTATTTATAGCATTTTGGCGTCATGAGTTTTTAAATAAAATGCTTCTCCCCTCAGCTCTCGTGCTGGTTAGTTCAATTAAGACCTTGTAGTAGAGCATTTTTGAAAGATGTATTAGAAAACGTGGAATTTTGCTTTTTTTATAAGTAGATACATGTTTTTCATAATTTTTACAGTATTAAAAAAGGTATGATTTTCACGACAGGTTGTTGTGAGTTGCTACACATCTGGAGGTCTTGGGTTCGATTCTCAATAAGTGGAAAGATGGCGGTGTCACTCTCTCAACGATAATGTCTAGTATTCGTCCCACTAGACTTTGAGAGTGAAAAAAATAGAGAAATGCACTTATGTGTGTACGTATACTTGCAGTGTAGTATCATCGCCTGCGAAGTTAATTAGTCTCAGTGAGACTAGCCGCCACAGCCAAAATCAGTTAGGATGAAATTAAGTATATGCTACCTTTAACGTGTCATCTATACTAATATTATAAAGAGCTAAAGTTTGTGAGTTTGTGAATTGTATGTTTGTGACGTTGTAGGGGGTAATGTCTGGATCTACTGAACTGATTTAGATGAAATTTAGGAAGAACATAGTTTGAGACCCTGGGAAGGACATAGGATACTTTATATTTCGGGAATCATCCCTTAAGGGGGTGAAAATGGGGATGAAAGTTTGTATGGGGAATCAACCTAGGACAGACCCGAGCGAAGCGAGGGCGATTCGCTAGTATCCCATAAAGGTAGAACAATTACTTCAATAATGATTTAAAATTTGAGATAACATATCATAACTTGCTTCAATGTTATGTATCAATTAATAAAATCGGTTAAAAGTCAATTAATTAATTAACAAAATATTTACTAATATAAAGTAATAATGAATCAAAGGTTTCCATAGTTCTGGTTAGAGCTTTGTAAATCTATTCATGAGTAGAAAACTAAAATCGGAGTAAGCTTTGTAATAAAACAATCTGTTAATATCAATTTCAGTACGTGCCAAAAGCTATGAATATTGAGGAAACAATGAGTGAGAGTTATGTGTTCTCAAGAATGTTTAGCAATATTAAAGTGGTATAAAAATTTTGCTTTATGAATGTTAGTCACCCTATTTCGTGATAGATACGAAGTAAAGGCCTAGTAAATTAAATTAAACTCATTAAATTATAAATAAAATAAATATGTTGGGACCTTAACACACTGCACCATTTAGTTCCATGGTAAGCTACGAGGCTTGTGTTATACTATATAGTTGATACACTACTCATAAATAAAAACATATTATAAATATAAACACCCATGACTGGAGTACAATTATTCGTGCTCATCACACAAATGAATGCCCCCAACGGGACTCGAACCTGCGACCGCTGGCACAGAAAGTAGGGTCACTACAAACAGCCAAACGTGTCTTCAAAATCTCTAGCAAATAATAATTTAAAGGTGGTAGGTAAAGAGTTTTTAAATAAACAAGCTTAGAACAGAATAATATGAGTAACACCTCTGTGGTGGCAGCGCATGTGACGTTTTCAACTCAGGGAGCTTAGACAAAATGTAATTTTAATCATTGAAGGAAAGTTAAAAAGTGCCTTGAAATGACAAAATATGTAATCGTAGAATGTCTTATCTACATCATGACATTGTTGGTTCAATATAAAATATTTTATCTACATATAAGTAAACTAAACTGAATGTGTGTATGTATTCCTATTCAGCCTCTTTTTTCAACTTACTGCTAGGCGCGAGCTTATATAAGGATCGTAGATTACCACACTTAGCGGACTTCACATGTTTTACAAAAACTTGTTAGATTCTTTTTAAATAAAACTATCTTTTCAGATTATATCGCGGATTTATTTTGATATTTGGTTCCCGGCGTTGCGAATGCTTTACAGCAATCATGATCACAAGAGAGACTAAGGTTATAGACGTCTCAAACACATACTTGTTACAGACAGTGCCTACCCACTATTTTACAAAAAATATTTCAAAAATTCATAAATGGCTATGAAGTACCTTACAATAGGTATTTGTTGATATTTATTTCTAAACGCTTTAAATTTTTTAATAAGTATTATAATTAAATATAACAATATTATTTATTTAATTTTAGCTGTTATTACCGTTTTAAAAAAACTTTATTAATTACTAATATTATTTAATGTTGCTATTATTATATTATGTATAACCATAAAGAATATTAAAAATTAAAAATATTTATTATTTATCTAAGCAATATTATTGTTTTATATATAATTTAAAAGAAGTTAAAATATTAATTTAGATTGCTATTATTTAAAGTTAAAATATTAAGCAATTAATTATTTGAAACCGCGACCGCTGGCACAACAAGTAGAGTCACTACAATTTGAAACAAACGTGTCGTCAAAGAAAAAGACTGCTATAAAATATAACAAATATTGATTGATAGTTTTAAGACGACGCATTGTTAGCTATTTAGGAACGCAATCTAGCGAAGCGAGGATTAATTGCTAGTTGAATAGAATTTTACGGTCCTTATAAATAACTAGCGACTCACTCTCGCTTTGCTCGGATTCGTCCCTGGCATAATTTCCCATACAAACTTTCATCCCCATTTTCACCCCCTTAAAGGATGATTTCTGGGATAAAAAGTATCCCACGTCCTTTCCAGGGTCTCAAACTACCTTCTTATCAAATTTTACCTAAATCGGTTCAGTAGATCCAGAGATTACCCCCGACAACATCACAAACTCACAATCTCACAAACTTTACCTCTTTATTATATTAGTATAGATAAAATATCCCTTTTTAGACATCTAGCATATGTGAAAAGTGAAAAACGGTGTACCTCGGTCATAGTCTACCTAACTCATTAAAGTTAAATGTAAACTAGAAAGCTTTGTTAAGTCTAATTAATCTTCTATACAGCTGCAGTCTATAGTAATTCATTAGTGCATCCAAGATTAGTCTCGGCTTCAACTGTTATTGTATAAAAAGAAAATTAAATGACACTTTATATTAAAGGAAAACAATTAGATAAATACTAGATAAATGTTAGGCGATATGGTTGGAGGCGCCATCTCTATATCGGAGATTGCGGATTCGACTCCCGCTCGGGAAAAGTATTAATGAGGGCCGACAACACGTATCTGACATAGAGTCAAGGTGTTTTTCGTGTATATTTCACGGACCACGACGCAAAAGATAGAGCCTGGTAGATATCAAAAACCTTATATTACTGTACGGATTTATTCAATTAAAAGAGAAATTAATATATATGTATGTATATACATTTTACTGGCAACTTGTATTTCAATATAATGACTTCGTACCGAAGGACGCAAATCGATTTTTAACTATAGTGTTCATTTATTTAGCCCCTTTTATAGTGTAAAAAAGCTGTGCAAAGTAATTTCTACACAATGACATGCCATAACCGTTGCCATTTGCCCTTTGTGATAGAATGAATCGCAGTATTCATCGCCCACACCGTTCTAGGGCAATCTGCGTTTCTTTCATAAATCATTCCTGTTTAAATCCGACAACATTGTACAATGTACATACATATGTATATACTAAGTATTAAAAAGATTGGCAATAGTACATTTTTCATTTTTGTAAGGTTAGTAAGTAATTGTATTGTATTCAGCCCTTTTTAACGTCCCACTGCTGGGCACGGGCCTCCCTTCAATACGAGGGGGATCAGGCCATAGTCCGCCACGCTGGCCAAGTGCGAGTTGGCGGACTTCACATGTGTTTCGAAAACTTGCTAAGTTCTCTCAGAGATGCAGGTTTCCTCACGATGTTTTCCTTCACCATAAGGCAAGTGGTAATCATGTTAGAAATGATTCGCAGATGAAAATATCAGAGGTGCGAGACCCGGGATTTGAACCCGCTTCACTCGGTTTCCCAAGCGAGCGCGTTACCACTGGGCTACCACTGCCTTAGTAAGTAATATTTTTAAAATATTAATAGGTTAATGGGGAATTATTATTGCTTACAGTTAATGCTGTTCTAGCCACAGGAATCATTGGACTTGCTTATTCCTTAGTTATATACATATGAGCTACATACATATCTAATTCTAACTTTTTGTAATATAGTATACTAGCAGAACCCGCGGCTTCGCTCGCGTTAAAACTACAAAAAAATATCTAAAAAGGTAGTTTCGTGCAAACTTTCATCCCCTATTTTACCCCCTTATAGGATGAATTTCGAAAAATACTAAAATACGTATTTATTTAATTTTATTGAAGACCATTAATACCAAGTTTCAATTAATTCTGACCACATTTTTTTTGATTGTATTATAACATGTTTTCCCGTGGGAATTAGATAATTTCCCGTAGTAAAAAGTAGCCTATGTCACTCTCCAGCCCTCCAACTATCTCCACACAAAAAATCACACCAATCTGTCACTCCGTTTCGACGTGAAAGAAGGACAAACAAACAAACACACTTTCACATTTATAATATTAGTAAGGATTTATTAATTTTCTATATTTAAATAAAAATTATTGTTGGTCTGTTCGTCCTGTATGCGTTTCGAAAAAAATGATCCGATTTTGATGAAACTGTAGTGGGTTATTCAAGCGAACACCTGCCAGAGTTCCTGGCATAAAACAAAAAAATTTCTTTGGACGTTTGTCTTTTATGTGTTCCTAAAGCATTCAAGCTTAGGGACCACTTACCACACCTTAGCATCCGAGCGAAGTAGGGCTAAGTAGTTAGTGTACCATAAAACTTATGTTAACCAAAATAAAGGAAAAGTACGTGGACAAAGGATAATTTATCTCTTTAAGAGAATTCTTCCAGAAACCCATGTGAGAAAATTAATTAATTTAGTGCGATGTAGGTACAGTATTATATTATTCCTGGGAAAAGACTTTATTTACCGGGATAGAAAGTAGTACAGTGATGATATCTCACCAACAAATTATGTATATGGTCAAGTACAGCTATTAATGTGATAAAAAGGTAAATTAACCAACAAACACGTCAAATAACACTTATACATTAGTAATAATTGCAAATAATTAACATTTTTTAGGTATCTAATGTAGATATATTCCATCTTTACAAAGTGTCAAATGTTAACTGTCTCGATAAGTAAAAAAGTAATAGCAAAACATTCTTATTCGCAATCATTACGTACGGAGCCAATTCGGTTTTCCAAATATAAAAAGAAAAACTAACAAACTCACCTAAAAGTCAAAGTAACTTGGCCAAAAAGTTTCTTATTGTCCATATTCTCAGCATCCACATGCAGGACACCCTGGATTTTGTCGATACAGCCATTTTCCACTACTAAATCTCGAGACGCCAAATATAATGTCAATTTGTTATTTGGTGATGATTTCTTGAAAACCCTGAAAAATGGATTTTAATGAGTGTTTGTAGAGACAATAATTATAATATACAAGTAACTCAGTCTGTAAATACGAAGGTCCCGGGTACGAGCCCAGGGTCGAACCAAGTTATCGAGAGAGACTGAGTCGTAATTGCTATAAAGCATTCGAACTGTTGGGAACAAAAAAATCCGAAAAGATAATTTCTTTGTATATTTTCAATTATTGTATTTTGAAGCTTATTATTGTATATTGTATGTTTTTTGGCACTTTTTTTTGCAGAAAATGTCGTAGGATTGATGAATTGACTTTTACAATAATCGTAGACACTTTTTTAAAAACATGTATAGAACGATGGGGCATGTGCTTAACAGAGTCTATATAAACAAGTAAAAAAGTATTGCCCTAATTATTTCAACTAATAATGGCAATGTGATCGAAATTAAACTAAAATCATTATTGAAGAGAAACATATACAAATAGAATTTACGTATCTATGTAAAATGAATCTATTTCCAATTTTTTTCATTAATAACACTAAAGTTCGTTAACACCTCCAGATAATTTTCTAAGAAATTAGTTAAAAATCTAAGAAATCTATTGTTTACTGACACGCTGGCGTGTCCGCGGTCGTGGAGGGATTAATAGCAAGTACCTGGGCAACCACTGGTATTTTTGGCCAAAGGTACAATTTTCTTTGTCAAAAAAACGAAAAACTAGAATAAATACAAAAAAAAAACAAAAGTAAAATCTTTGTATGTGACCGGGATTCGAACCCGGACACCTGTGAGTGTCAATTTTGACCATTATGCTTAAGCCCAAGCATGCGAAATTAGCGACCATATTTTGCGTGGAATAATACGAAAGAAATCCGCATGAAAACTCGAAAACACGCAATTTCCCAGACATAAGACTAATCTAGATCGATTTTTCGCCCCCGAAAATTCCCACATGCGAAATTTCTGCGAAACGTTAGAGCTGTTTCCGATATCGCCGGTATAAATAAATATACAAGAATTGCTCGTTTAAAGGTATTAGATTAAACAAACAAAACATAAAAGGTTGTCAAACAGAGTATTAAAAGGTACCTGTTTGGGTGCCTATTTATATATAAAACATTTACGTTCATTCGTACGTCATATACCTACTCGTTTTATCCATTAAGACATCTTTGTTAAGTGCAGGACATCTGCATGAAAGGCGCCGCTTTTCAATATCGTTTGGAGTGGCCAACTTTCAGTCATACAAGATTATATACTTGGAAATTTATTATTTTATTATATAATTTATGCAATTCGTTGGGTTGCAATTTATTGGTAGTGTAAATTCATTCACATTACTCTTATTAAAATGTAATAAATAAATAAGTTGGATAAAAGCGTGTGTGAAGTAAATAATTGTAGCCTGTCATGATATTATTATCAGTTCTTTTATAACGGCAATTATGCGGTTATAAAAGAAGATATTAGTCTCGCTAAAATTCCAAAAGCGGCTGTTCCGATATGAATAATTATTATTTTTTTGCGTTGTTTGGGGTGTGTTTGGGGGGTGGTTTAAGTATAAAAAAATAGGGAAAACCCAAAAAACTTTTCGTTCAGAACTATTTATTTTGTACCTATGTATGTATAATATATAAATCTATTCCGTACTAACCGTTAAAATGTACCTAGGGTAATAATACCTGGACGAAGCGAGGGTGAATCGCTAGTGTTATTAAAATAAAATTCAATAATTTAAGCAAAGTCACGAAAAATAATATGTATTGAATATTCCAGTTTTTTATTAACATGCTCTTATGTAAGTCACCAAACGATGAATCAAGCCACTTGACCCGTCTGAACTATATTTCAATCGATTATACTTAACTCTTACAATTACCTACTCGTAGTAGCAATTTATTTCACATAAAGAAATAAAGAAATTATTTATTAAAATTTATTCATATCTTCATCAAATCTGATTATAATATTGGATTTATACGGATAATTTATATCGATATTTCAAAAATAAGCCATTATGATGATGTTTTTGTATTAAGTTAGTAAAATTGTCCTTTTTTCGGTAATATTAAAAACTCGAAGGGAATCTAGAGTCCCTAGTAGACTTTGAAGAATCTCATCTCATCTCACACTTAGAGTAAGTGCAAATACACATAGCGCTTCATTCTATTATGTAACTTTCATATTCAAATGCAGGCTGGCACGACTAAAGAAGATTTAGGTGCACGACAATGCTTACCGTACATCCCAATAATATGAGACATGAGACATTGTTGGTGTAAATATGTGGAATTATTGAGAATTGTTGACTCATATACGGGCTGCCTATATTGTTATGTTAGTAAAATAAATGTAACTTCGATATTAAAAAAAAACAATTGTTGAGTTTCTCGCCGGCTCTTCTCAGCAGAACTGCTTTCCGATCTGGTGGTAGCTTCCTCACAGACTGATTACACTGGCGCTTAAGTAAATTGACGATTCAAGTTTGTAATAAGTCTATTTGAATAAAGTTTATTACATTTCATTTCATGTTAAGTCTGCCAACCCGCACGCCAAGGTGGACTATGACTTGATCTCCCTAGTAATGAAGGAAGACCCGTTCCCAGCAGTGGGACGTTAAAAAAAGGTTGAATACAATACTTACACCCCAATAAGGCAAATGCAATATTACCAAATGCCCTACCGCTACTATTGATTATATATTTAATGGCAGAAACGCCCAATAAGTCTATAGGGCCAAGGGCTTGAATTTAGTCCTTAACGATCTGCAGCCGTATAAGCCGTATATAATTATATTTATTATTGTATAATATTATTTTCTTTACAACATTCAACTATTAAAACTTTCGTATGCTCGTAGCTTACCGTTGAGAATTCAGAGCGCTGTCTGTTGTCATTTCGGGGTTTCCTTGCCGACTTTCTGAAACAAAATAAAAAGTGCTTTATTTTATTATTCGTTAAAGTAAAACGAATTTTGTTACTTAAAAGTGACATTAATACAATTATGTATTTTATTTAATGACAAATTGTATAATGTTATTTTCGTTTCTGGCAAAAACATTTTAGCAGTAAAAATATTGGTAATGCTGGTCCGTAAGATTGCTTAGAAAATCAACTTAAGGCGATTAGTGTCGATTGGGCGGGTCTTATAGCGCTGCATCCGCGCATCCCGCACGATAGCATCAAACAATCCACGCACTATTATACCAGAACACCGATCAAAGAATACGCCACATAGGCGCGCGGCATAGTTTACTGCCTATGAGCGATACAATCCGAAAAGGGTCGAAAGAGAGATAGATGCAATGCTAGAATTATCGTACTATATAATATAATTAATTATTTTCATAGTAATAGTCTAAAATACTTGAATGATTGTAAGTTTGTTTGTTAATCACGCGTAAAATAAACGGCTAAACCGAGTTTCTTGAAATTTGGCAAATATAATAATAAATAAATATCATTATAGGTAGTTTCTCTGTTATGCGGTAACAGACAGACAGACACAAACATTTCAAAAAAACTATAGAATCGGCTCTGTTTCGATAATAATGTTTATTTCAATAAGATTTAAAAAAAATATTGGATGTAGAAATTCAGCTAAGTTAAAATTTTATTATACATGTCTATACATGTATAATAAAATTTTAACTATATCTAAAACAAGTTCTATAATTTCACGTGATTGGTGACGCCGTATCAGACGTTACGATTTTGATTTACAGAATCTAAAAAATATTACATTTTTATTAAATTGGAACACCATTATAAATTTCCAAACGAAATAGAATTTTGTCAAATTTATTACAACAAACAAAATTTAATGAAACAATCTGAAATATTTACCTAAGTATTTTAATTAAAAGCTTACAGGATTTTATAGCCGAACGTTATTCATATCATACCATTTTTAAAGGTACATCCATTCAGGTACATTTTAAACGTGCTCCGGACAATTAATTTTATGAATTTCGTTGATTTGGTTGGTTCATATGGATTTTGGTTATAATTATTTATTTATTTACCAGTACTTCCGGCAGCCATTGTTTTGCTTGTAACGATTAATCAATCCCCGTTTTTGAAATTTTAAACTACTACTCTAGTACTCAGCCAAATTAATTGAAACTTAGGAAAAGGCACCGTTGTAGCCAATCTCCCGCATTTTTTTTCTGAACTTGTGGCTCGCAATGAAAGTCATATATTAATGGAAGAAACTTAAAAAAATTGCAGCATTATGTGGATCTAGCGTGTTACGTTTCAAAGATATTGAAAGTAAAAATTGCCGTAAGGATGCCGATGACAATGATTAAAAAAAGAATTATGCGTCAATATGCGTTAGTTTTATGTATTCAAATAATAATTCGCATATAAGCAGTTTTTACGTGGAAATTTTTTAGGTATTTTTCTTTGTTAAAGTGTCTTCTATCCATTGATTTATTTTACAGTGCGCTTAGATTGTATTGTACTAGATGGTATTTAAAAAAAAGAAAAAAAGTGTGCGTGTGTGTACTCTCGTGTATAGTGATTATGTGTATCTATGTTCGCACGTAAGAAGTTATACTTCTTTGGCGTAACAGAAAAAAATAGCTAAAGACTTCATCCCGTATGTCACAACTCTCTGTTTGTAAAAGGAATGCAGCTAACTTCATCATGTCGCATCAGCTTACGTCATTATGTCGCTTTTTGGCTGTCGGTGTGCATTGTAAAAAATTTTTTCATATTTTATTCCAAACGTCCCAAAAAAAGGACAACTTCAAAAATCTTTTACCAGCTCTTTTATATATAGATTATGTGTATAAAAATTGTAAACATGATTTTATAATGTATTAATTCACAAAAACCCCTTAAGATATGTGATTATTATTATTTTGTATGTACTTTTAATTTAATTTTCAACATACAACTCTGATCTTCTGTGTGTGGCATCGATCCGCTGAGTCTAAGCAGCTTAATATGACAGGACCGCTTTGAAGACGATTGCATATATAAGCTCAAACTTCGTCATTGGATTTAATAATTTGATCGATTGAACAAAAACAAAAAAAACAAGCCATTCAACAATTTAATTATTAAAAAATAATTATTTGATCATAAAAATAATAATTATTTGATCATTACACATTAATTAATCAATAAAAATTATAGTTTAAAAAATAAATATTTTTTTTACCCACTGTGTAGTGATGTAATGTATATGAAAAACTAATAAAATTGTGTAATTTGAGCTTAATTCAACGGTTTGCCTTCACTGCAATAGTACAGAATGTTAGTTGAAGTAAATGAATAAATGGTGCGCATTGCATATTATTATAACTAATAATATCCAATGCAAAATTTTAATTTCATTATAAATTCTTTGATAGAGAATATCGTGTTACATTTACGAAGCAAAAAATATGCAAAATACATCAAAAGGTTTTGTTTATGAATGGATAAAATTTTAATCCTATTACTACTTTCATTTTAATTTTTTATGATAATTTCACGTTATAAAATACTAGCGACTCACCCTCGCATCGTTCGGGTTCGTCACTAGGTTGCATCCCCATACGAACCTTCATTCCCATTTTCAACTCCTTAAGGGATAATTTTTGGGATAAAAATATCCTATATCCTTCCCAGGGTCTCAAACTATCTCCTAACTAGATTTCATCTAAATTGGTTCAGTAATTTTCGAGCTTATTCGGTATAAACAAACAAACAAGCGATTTTTTTTCCTCTTTATAATATTAGTACAGATAAAATAAAAATATTTGTTTTACACTACTATAATATGTATGTACTGCTTTAAATATGTTAAGGACGCATGCATTGGATTGTATATTTTTAAAACGGTTATCTTATTCTAATAAAGGAGAAATTTCAATTTCAAACGGAAAAAGGGACAAAAGATCTTTCTGATAAGAATAAAAAAATCTTACATATTATGATTTTTATGGTTTACTAAATTTTCTCGAATACAACACGTATTTTAGTTACCATTTAAAATTACAACTATGTCTCATAGTAAGACAAATTTTGTAAGCGGATATTGTGGGCGGCAGCAGTGGCGCTAATGTTTGTTTGTTCTCACACTGTTGTTTCAGCTAACATGCACTGCTTAATTTAGACCAATGACTTCAAATGGATCGATGAAAATATTTAGCTAATGTTTAATAAATTTTGGAGGTATAAACTCAAAATAGAAATAATTGTCATATTGTTAGTACGTGCATGTCGCTTTGACAATATCAAAACTAGTGTCTAAATAAAGCGAAAAAAATTGAATATGAAAAACCCGATCGGGTCAGGACTAATAATCTGTAACTACTTCGACAATAATCGTTGGCTTACAAGGTTCTATGTTAATTTTAAAGAAGTTTAGTAATTTTTACATAGAACTTCGTTATTTTGTTATCGTAAAAAAAACAACATAGAACTATGTAAATTGAATATTTTGTAGTTAAAGTGCCGCTATCTAGTGGTTTGTTTTTGCAAAACTTTAGCTAATGACACATATAACCTTGTAGCATTCATAACTACATAAGTACTAAAATTGTAACATAGAACCTTGTAATAGTGAGCCAACGATTATTGTCACGGATAATAACATAGTATTTCCCGTAACCATGTTTTCTGTAAATTATACGACACGTCAGAAAGAAAAAAACGCACGTAAAAATAATTTAATTTTAACGTAAAATATTTCACTAAACGTAAAAAAGTATTAAATCTTTTATGAGCCCTGTTCAAAATTAAATATCACAAACCTTTAGATATAGCTTTTTAACATGTTTAACCCAAAATTTAAATTATATTTATACGTAAGCAAAGTTTATACACTTCTCTTATTCACGAGTTTCTAGATGAAAATCTCTGGAATTAAGACGCTCGTATGCGGGATAGCTAATATGTTGTATGAAAAATATTCTTGCTCCATATTTAGAAAAGCAACTGTTGAAACTGTTTCTCATTCGACGGTGGTGGAGGCTTCCTTTAGATTACACTTTCTTTAAATTAAGTTGACGAATCAAGTGCTTGTTAATAACAAATTGAGTAAAATGAATTTTCATTTTTTACACTTTTTCCACCTGCGGATTTTAAATTTTCACCCTATGGATTTAACACGATTGCCCAAATGATGAAATTTGGCTTCTTAAAAAGTGGTCTGAATTGATCAAGAAATGGTCATAAATGGTCAGTGATTTTTATTAATTGGTAAGTACTTTGACACTAACTACAGAGAGTTTAAAATTTCAAGATCATCGGAAAAAAAATGGCGGCTCAAATGAATCCTAGAGATCGGATCTACAATTATTTCAATTGGTCATGAAATCGTCACGTTGGCCAATTAATTTTAATAATTGGTCAACGTTATTCACGTATTAATTAGAAAAAATTAAAAAAAACTAAGTTGACTTTTTCTGATTAGGTTAGATTTGTCTCCTCGAAATAATAATTTTGCAATACTAAAAATCACTGACCATTTATGAACATTTCGTGACCAAGTCAGACCACTTTTCAAAAAACCAATTTTCATCATTTGGGCCGCTAAATGATGATGTTCTCCTGGCCGATTCCGGCCACAGCGGCCAATCTCATTGAGACTAGCCAACTGCGCAGGAGATATTATAGTGCACAAGTGTACGCGCAGACACAAGTGCACTCTCTATTCCTGTCACTCTCATACTCCGGTGGGACGACTGCTCGACACGACCAGTGAGAGTTAAGGCGCAGGACCGACGGCTTTACGTGCTCTCCGAGGCACGGGGGTGAAACACCGCCAACTTCCCAACTCCGGGCCGTTACTGAGACTTACTATACAGAAAGACTCAGTAACTAAACTTGGCCCGACCCGGGACTCGAACTACCAATCAGTTATTTTTTACTTTTTAGTGCTTTTGTTTGAAGTCGGTTTTTATTTTTTTGTTAAAAAGTTTTTATTTTTCCCTTTTTAGTGTAGACAGTAGTAGCAAAGTAAGAATTCTAACGTGTTAGGCTTGTCAAATCAAACAAAATAAGCCCAAACTCAAGTATCTACTATTAGCCGTTGAAGAGTTCCACCTATCCACCTTCTGGCCTTACCATCAGATCAGGTCAACAATACCGAACCACTGTACTATCAACGGAAATAGAAACACTTGCAAAGTTTCAAGTCAATATGACAATTAGAAGTAGGTTAAATTCATCATTCGCCATTTTTCCACCCTTAGGGGTGGTATTTTTTCTTGAAATTTAAATGGGACCAATCTGGAAGTAAACACTTTCAAACAACACTAAAATTGTCCAAATCGGTTAATAAATGACGGATTGCTGTGGTAACAAACATAAAGAAAAATACAGTCGAATTGAGAACCTCCTCCTTTTTGAAGTCGGTTGAAAAACATAGAAAGATCTTCTTTTCAAAAGTCATCCAATCCTAAGGGAAAAGAAACCGATTCGCACTCAATCAAAACTTATTTTCTTCTATTCGAATAACTCAGAATATCGTAAAATCGAATAAAAAATTTTTTGCGGTACTCCCACTCTTTAAAATATTCCTACATTCTTTAAAATTTTCCTCTTCTACCAATAATTTAATTCAAACACTTACCCATTGTGATATGACCAGGTGATCTAAACTAAAAAAGAAATTTTGTTTTTATATAGGGATATTTCTGCAGACATTAAAATATTCATACACTTAAACTATATAACATAAGTAATAGCGGAAGTACCTAGTCATAATTTACGAACACTGGTGATTTACTTATTATTTTTGGCTACAACCAGCCATCGCTTCGCTCAAGCATCACTAAATAGGTGCTTTCTAATTAGTAACGGGAATCAAATCTATGGCCCATAAATTAATTATTAAGCCAATTCGTTGATTTATCGCTGCGTAAAAATCGATAAACCAATGAACAGGCGTTCGGATTTACAAGTATAATATAAGTTATTTTCTATCATTACGTATCAACACGTGCAAGGAACAATATTGGTAATTTAGTATTATATTCATCACATTCAATCTTTTCCTAATATTAAGTGAACTCTGCTCTTTTTTTTGGAAATAAATGCTTTTA